AATAATATTAATAATAATATTAATAGATAATAATAATAATAATAATAATATCAGTAATATTAGCAATGGGAGATCCATGAGAACCTGCAAAATACATATCTAACATTCTGTATCATATCTACTTATACGGTATGATCAGGGTTAGGAGGGTTACTTAATTACCGGTTAAGAAATGACAGACAGGTAAAATGATGCTGCAGGAGTGCTTTGTGACGTTTCTGTAGATGTTTTAACTTTTCAACCTTTTACAGGCACTTTTCAAACCTGAAGGAGATGACGTTTTATGCTAGAAACTTCCAGTGAAGTATGAGTTTGGGGGGTGGGGGTAGCCCCAGCTGACACATCCATCCTTTACCTGACTCATGCCCTGCCTCTACCTTTCTTACCGTCTGTTAACTGGAGCATGCTATTTACCAAAGAATGCAAACATGGTGCAGTGTTTTTCCACTGTGACCTGGCAGGACAAAACAGTTCAAACAGCAGCAAGCACTGCCAAATCCCCACATTTACTGTACTGTAGTGGTAAATCCTATAGAAATGTTATGGTATAAAGTAATTCAGGGTGAGAATCCAATTCTAGTTGAATCAATTGTGTAATCAAGTATGTAATTATAATCAGAGGTGGACCACTCTGGTTGATATTTATGCATTTCAAAGTCTTAAAACTCAGTGAACATTATTAATAACTGTAAATGTCAAGCTCTTCAGGCTAAACAACAGAGCTTAAAGCAGTGAGCCTGTTCCTCAAGCTGTCAGGCTGTTTCACGTGTCTCACAAGTATCGCCCAGATGTGTTGGGGCTTGCTGGGCCAGATGAGTAGTCTCAGCAGTTACAAGCAGTTTCTTGCTTGCCGGTGTTTGATGTGAAAGATCATCTACCTGAGAAATTCTTAACATATAATGTAATATTACTTAAGAAAATAATTTACCAAATGTTGACTGACATCAGCCTTACTCACCACTTAAAGAAATAACCTACACTTCACAGGTCTTCTTCAGGCGTCTGATAGCCAGTAACCACAATAAACACGTGACGGACTGAAAAAAGGACAGAAGAAGCACGGAGGCAAGAAGTTGTGGTTGAGGTTTGGGATAAGAAACAAAGATAAGGAACTGAACTGCGCATTAAACAGGCCTGAGTCACGCAATTAAATCAAGCAGAAGGAGCTGGCATGATCTATGTTCATGCATGCTTGTCTGCACGTTCAAGGATAGAAGGTGGGGCAGAAAGAATGTCATACCGGTTTCACATTTCAGTTTTATATAAGATGTAACTTCTGATACTGTTGTTAGGACTCATTTTATGTTAACATTACATGGAAAATAACAATAAAATCATAAAAAGTTGAATTGATCGACAAATATTAAAGCATTTTGTGTTGATTCTGGCGGCCTAATGTTTTTACCGCCTTGTTTCATTCATTTTAAGGGGAATCTGACCTGGTGGCAGGCATTAAACTTTATTCTTTTGTCTTGTAATATCAATGTCTGGTCTAAATTTCATAGCTGCGTTGGAAATGTGTCTCTTGAAAAAGACGTTGATGTGTTGAAAACTTCCACTGTAAGAAAACCAGGAAGTGAACATATATGAGCTCTTGCTGAGGGTGACTGCACCTGAGTAGGGCATTAACTCTCCAGGCGGTGGTGCTTTTTGGAATAAATATTCATGTTTTACAGAGAGTAAAGCGTCATTATAATAACACCGGTGACACTGAACTCAAATCTCACACCACACATTTCCCCTTGAGCCACACATGGGCCCGTGGCAAAGTCTTACTGGGTTATTTCAGATATATTCATGGAGGGAAAACCTTGACCCCCTGATGTTTCCCCTTGCACCGCCATAAGGGTTAAATATCCAAATCTAGTGGGCTGATTTGTTTGTTTTTTTGTTTAGCAATCTTTATTGATTTTCCTTTTACACCCACCATATATTATTGTAGCATATATTGAAAACAAAAAGCATAGAACAGCTGTGTTATTCAAATGATTACAGCTGTAAAAGGGACCCAACCCATCCCAAACAAGTTTTCAAGGATCTGATTTTCTCAAATTTCATAAAATGCACTTCTAATCTATCTTGTAAGGTTAGGAGGGGAAGAATAAAAAGATGTAGTTCATAAAATCACTCTGCACATTTGTGTATCCCACTGGATGAACCATTGACTGCATATTGCCATATTGCCTCTATGTACCCAAAATCTAATAGGTCGACTGTCATAAAATTGCCTGAGCAGGTGTCCCTTAAACCAGTATTTCTCAAACGGGTGCTGGCCTACCCCTAGGGGTACTTTGGAGTACTGTATGGGGTTTTGTCCATGCTTTCTTCAATACATTTCTTTCCTAAATTCCTTTAATAATGACTGCTATAATCAGGTCAATAAACAATGTAAATGTAGGCTCGATAAACCACATCTTAAAATCAATATTCCTGTTTTCAAGTGTCAACTGCAGTAAGACCTTGAAGAGGAAGAAGGTTCGATATTGAATGGCAGACAAAAAATCGAGAAAATGGATTTGTGGTTGAAACTCAGCAACAATACAGCTGAAAACACAGAGCAAGAAGAGAAATAGAAAGTGAGAACAGAGCCAAAAAAATACCGTCAGAGTCAGAAAGAAGATGTTTCAATTGGATTTAACTCAACGAGCTGCAACCCTCCCAAGACATTGTGCTTTTACAATTAGTAAATATATGTATATGTATATATGTTGCACAGTAATTTCCCTTGGGATAAATAAATACATAAATAAATCTTGAATCTTGAATCTATATAATTATATTACATATAGGCAGTTTTTTCTACCAAAAATGTCAGGGCTACTTGGCTGAAAAGATATTTCAAAGCGGATAAATTAAAAACAGTTTTTGAACTGTCCTAAATGACCCCTGGCCCAATTATGATAAATGAAAGGTTTCACTAGAAATCTGAGAGTTGTACCACTTCTGGCCTTCTGCATGTTTCCACGCTCAACCTCAGCCCCCACCCTCCATCTGCACCTCCTCCACAGCAGCTCATAATGAATTTAAACCCTTCTCGCTGGTACACACACACAGCCTCAAACGGAGCTGCAGGCCATTCTGCAACATTGAGCCCCAGCTCATCCTCCGCTCTCCACCATCACTGTGGTCCCTCCACCCCCCCCCCTCCTCCTCCTTGCCTGCGCGCGTTATTCGTCCCCTTTCTTGCAATCATCAGCACCCGTCTACCTCACCATTCTTCCTCTCTCTATCTTCTTATTATCTATGATCCTGTGTTGCCTCGTCTTATCCTCTTTATTTCTTTTCGTCAGCTTATATTACGGTGCTAATGTTTGGAACTCTATTCTACAACAGGAAATTGATCTAGATAAACGGAGCTTGTTTATGGGAATGTGGACTATTCACGACACTGTTTTTTATTTTTGAGAGTTATTCGTATAACTGTGTACTACCTACAGTATTCTTATATGTTGGTTCATTTTAACTGGTAAGCTCGTTGGTCCCATTCTGTTGATTTTTAACAATTTATATGCTAGTTTATCTTTCTGCGATGCAGCACTATGAAAAGGCCAAAATAGATTCCAGATGTATATAATAATAACAGACTGCTGGAGTACATCTACCTTGTTTGGATTGATATTGTAGACTATGTGTTGCATAGACTGACCAAAGGACTAGCGAGTAGCATTTTTGTCATGCAAAGGAATAATATAGTTGGATTAGAATAGATATAGATAGGTATAATATAGAGAGATAGATAATAGATGATTAGAGGTACACGATATAGTGAGATTAAGATAGAGTGTTGAGTGAGTGAGTTATGAGTATGTATTAGGTAGATAGAGTATTTTATTAATGACATATTTTAGTATAGATAATAATATTATTTAGGTAAGACTGAGATATTGGATATGGATTAGTAAGGATAAGATATTAGATTAGATTTAGATGATAGATAGGATAATATAGCTGGATTATAGTAACAGCAGCATTAACACTATCAGGTATACATTTTAGTGAGCGGAAATAATGAAAGAGCTGTGAAAGAAATATGACAAGTAATGTATTATGACAGACTGCTGTTTATCTTCTTCTTC